TTCCAGTTCACTGTGAATTACCAGGCCAGAGACAGATAGCGAAGGAATACTTCAAGTCGATTTGAGATAGCAGCACTGCTTCATCTTCACCACTAGGTGGCAGGCGCACCCCAAGAGGAGGCCACTTCCGCCCTCGGCCAAAGCCCCGCGCCTGGGCACCGCGTCCCACCCAACCCCAGCTACTTCCTGGGATTGACGCCCCCTCAGGAGGGGCAGGCGCCAGCAGATAACGACTTCCCTGGAAACCCGTCCCCGACACCAAGAAAGATGTTCCTTCTTCCCTCACTCCCACTCCGACTTCTGGTAAGCTCCACCAGTCCCTTCGTTCTTCATGTCCCCAGCTCCCCGTCCCCACCTCCCCAGATACAATTACCCTCGCCTTCTTAGCGCTCGCGACAACCCGCGCAGAGCGCAGCGGGCTGCTGTCTCCCACACCACTGCTCAGTTATATGCGCCGAGAAACAGGAGGAGGCTCCGCCCCAGGACACCTTGAGAATTGTCTGCTGTGTGGGGCTGCAGCAGACAGGAGGAAGAGAGACAGGAACAAGTTAAAACTTCAGAAGAGGCAAGAAGAGAAGGGGGCCGGAGGTTAAGGATAACGTCTTAGACGCTAGGTGGCCTCAAGACAGCTGCCGGAGCCCAGCCAGAGTCAGAGAGACAACCGTACTTGAGTGTCTCTAGAGGGCCAAGAGGACCAGACCAGCAGAGACGTAGGGTCACAGAATCCCATCTCCTTGGCCAAGGCCCCCGATGGGAAGGGAAAGGAGGCAAAGACAAACGCAGTGGGAGGGGCAGCAGGTGGAAGGTGGTGGCCCTTCCCCGGGCTGCCTAAGTTGGGTAATTGCTTTGCATGACTTTCCTGGGCTCTGGGTAACAAAAGGGGCTTCTTGCCCCCCTTGGAAGGAGCCTAGAGTCTTGTGGGCAAAGGGGGCCTCTCCTCCTCCACTGCCAACCCTACCCCCACCCCGGGGCTGGAGCCCCTCCCTCCCAGCCTGCCTCCCCCCTTACTTCCGCTGGCTTTGCATCTTGCTCTGCTCTTGGGCACAGTTTGGGAGGGGGCTGGGACTCCCTCTGAGCATAGTTTCCAATCGTTTACAAAAGTGGTGGTGTTTTCTTTCTGCTTGCTGTTTGTTTGGTTAGGATAATGAGCTACCTAATGGTTACTGGACTGTAATAAAAAGATAGCAAAGCAAACAGTGAAAGACAAGGATGTCAATTATATGCTCAATTATGTGCGCCGAGAAAGAGAAGGGACAGAACCCCCCTGGAGGCTGTCAGCATAGGCACCTCTTTGTCAGTTTTGTCACCCACAGCCAGTGCTGACAACCCACCCTGAACTCCTTTCCCTGGTTAGAACCTCACTCCCCCTCTGCACTGGCATTGGCAAGAGATACCCAGGGTCCTGGAGAAACTCCTGCTCAGGGCAGTCACCTCCTATTTACTCATTCTCCTGCCTTGGCATGAGCAGGAGGGAGAGTATAACTGGGTTCCAAGTTCAGTTGCTCCTGAGATCAGCAATAAAGAAAGTGACTTGGGCGGGGCGCGGTGGCTCATACCTGTAATCCCAGCACTTTAGGAGGCCAAGATGGGCGGATCACGAGGTCAGGAGTTCAAGACCAGCCTGGCCAACATGGTGAAACCCTGTCTCTCCTAAAAGTACAAAAAATTAGCTGGGCATGGTGGCGCGTGCCTGTAATCCCAGCTGCTTTGGAGGCTGAGGCAGCAGAATTGTTTGAACCCGGGAGGCAGAGGTTGCAGTGAGCCAAGATCACACCATTGCACTCCAGCCTGGGCGACAAGAGCAAAACTCCATCTCAAAAAAAAAGAAAAGAGAGAGAGAGAGAGAGAGAGAGAGAGAGAGGAAAGAAAGAAGAAAGAAAGAAAGAAAGAAAGAAAGAAAGAAAGAAAGAAAGAAAGAGAAAGAAAGAGAAGAAAAAGAAAGAAAGAAAGAGAGAGAGAGAGAAAGAAAGAAAAAGAAAGAAAGAAAGAAAGAAAGAAAGAAAGACTTTATTCCAAAGCTAGCTTGGGGGAAGAAGTACTGGCTTCCTGCCTTAAGGGTACTGCTTCTCTTTTGGAACAGAAAGCAGGGGTTTTTATAAGGGGATTTTGCATGAGTGACATACAGGGGAGGAAACAAGCAAGTGGGGGGAGGGTCTGCATAACCTTCAGTGCCTTATCCAATTTGCAGAAAATGCAGCCTCTGACCAAATGGTATGTGGGCCAAAGCCCTCTATACATTGCCAAGTACCTTATGAATATTCGCATGACTGTTTATTCATCATTGATGGGGCACCTCTCCTCTCCTGGGCCAAGGCGCTGTACTGGGGATCCAGGGCCACAGTGGAAATTGAGACACAGCCCTCGCAGAATGCAGACAAGTGATAAATGGCACTGTGGGGAAGTGGGCAGCCACATCTGGAATGAGGGAAGTTCTCTAGGTCAGAAGTCCTGTGTCTTCAATAAATCAATGTCATGATCAGAGGAGGGAAAGGCTGTAGAGGCAAAAAGAAGTGCTGGACCTTCTGGGATCAAGAGAGATATCCATCTCAGCCTCCCAAGTAGCTGGGACACAGGTACCTGACACCATGCCCGGCTCATTTTCAATTATTTTTTGTAGAGATAGAGTCTTACTTTGTTGTCCAGGCTGGTCTCGAACTCCTGGCTTCAAGTGATCCTCCCGCCTTGGCCTCCCACAGTGCTGGGATTACAGGCGTGAGCCACCATGCCCAGCCTCAAAAGCACCTTCAAAGCAGGATCCCAACAAGTTCCAGCGATTACTTTTAGTAGCTATGCCTCCGGTACTTTCTTTCATGGTTTGGGCACCGAAAGTCCCACATTTCTGGAAACTCATCAGTACCCAGTAAACCTGGATGGCTGGTCACCTTACCTATCACTGCCTCGTGCAGCACTGGACAGGTTAAGTGAGGGGCACAGCACTGAGCAGGAGCAGCTACCAGTTGGGGAATTAGGGCACTCCGGATAAGAGGCTAAGAACAATCCCCAGGCAGTGACCATCCCTGTTCCTGTCCACTTCAACACCAACAGCTGCAGCAGCGGCCTCTTTATCCAGGCCACCAGAGTCACCTGCCCAGGGAACATTCTGGCTCCTCCAGCCACCTCCTCTGTCCTGCTAGGAGGGGGTCTGCAGACAGAACAGCTTCTACCCTGCACATGTTCTCCTCTGATGCTTGCTGCCCTCCCCAATTTACATATATACTTAAACATGTACTTATACACATGTGTATTATATACGTATATAATGTACATATTCCTTAAGCACTTGCTATGAGCATTTTCTCATTTCACCTTCATAAAAACTCTGTGATGTAGTTAACGATCCCACCTGATGAATACATGAGGAAATTAAGGCCCAGAGAAGTAATTCATCCAAGGCCAAATACAGAGATAGCAATACACCTCACATAGCTACCTCATAGAGGTGTATATATATATATATATATATATATATATATATATATATATAAAGAGCTTAGAAGAGTGCCTGACATGGGGAGAATGATAAATAAAGGTTCAACTTTTTTTTAGACAGAGTCTCGTTCTGTCACCCAGACTGCAGTGCAGTGGCGTGATCTCAGCTAACGGCAACCTTCGCCTCCCGGGTTCAAGCAATGCCCTGCCTCAGCCTCCCAAGTAGCTGTGATTACAGGCAGCTGCTACCACACCCAGCTAATTTTTGTATTTTTAGTAGAGGCAGGGTTTCGCCATCTTGGCCAGGCTGGTCTTGAACTCCTGACTTCGTGATCCGCCCACCTCAGCCTCCCAAAGTGCTGGGATTACAGGCATGAGCCACCACGCCTGGCAAGGGTTCAACTCTTATGGATGGTATTATTCTGCCGCTCTGCCATGCCCTGCAGAGGGTGGGGGAAAAGCCTGAACTTTGTAAAAATAAATAAATAAATCGTTTGATTATTTGCATTGCAAAAGAATTCACTCAAGGCTCCTTTGCAAGCCAGGCCACTTGGTTTTCAAAACTGATTTGAGTATAAAGTCAGAGGCCGATTCACTCTAATGACTGTTTCTTTTGCTTTGCAGAAGCTATGGGGTTTGATTAGGTCCCATTTGCCTATTTTGGCTTTTGTTGCCAATGCTTTCGGTGTTTTGGTCATGAAGTCCTTGCCTACACCTATGTCCTGAATGGTTTTGCCTAGATTTTCTTCTAGGGTTTTTAATCGGCAACCAACAGAATGGGAAAAAATTTTTGCAGTCTACCCATCTGACAAAGGGCTGATATCCAGAATCTACGAAGAACTAAAACAGATTTACAAGAAAAAAACAAAGAAGCCCATTCAAAAGTGGGCAAAGGATATGAACAGACACTTTACAAAAGAAGACATACACGAGGCCAACAAACATATGAAAAAATGCTCATCCTCCCTGGTCATTAGCGAAATGCAAATCAAAACTACATTGAGATACCATCTCATGCCAGTTAGAATGGCGATCATTAAAAAATCTGGAGCCAACAGATGCTGGAGAGGATGTGGAGAAATAGGAACACTTTTACACTACTGGTGGGAGTGTAAATTAGTTCAACCATTGTGGAAGACAGTGTGGCGATTCCTCAAGGACCTAGAAATAGAAATTCCATTTGACCCAGCTATCCCGTTACTGGGTATATATCCAAAGGATTATAAATCGTTCTACTATAAGGACACATGCACACGAATGTTCATTGCAGCACAGTTGACAATAGCAAAGACCTGGAACCAACCCCAATGCCCATCAATGATAGACTGGACAGGGAAAATGTGGCACATATACACCATGGAATATTATGCAGCCATCAAAAATGAGTTCATGTCCTTTGTCATGTCAGCAAACTGACACAGGAACAGAAAATCAAACACTGCATGTTCTCACTCATAGGCAGGTGTTGAACAATAAGAACACATGGACACAGGGAGGGGAGCATCACACACTGGGGTCTGTCGGGGGAAATAGGGAAGGGAGAGCGGGGGGTGGGGAGTTGGGGAGAGACAGCATGGGGAGAAATGGCAGATATAGGTGAAGGGGAGGAAGGCAGCAAATCACACTGCCATGTGTGTACCTATGCAACAATCTTGGATGTTCTTCACATGTACCCCAAAACCTAAAATGCAATAAAAAATAAAATTAAATTAAAATAAATTTTTTTTAAAAAGTCAGAGGCACCCACCTAAGGCAAAGTAACTCACATCCTCAAAATCCTTCCAAGTCAAATTCCCCTGGACACTCATGGCAGGCCTCTCGCTGACCATTGCCCTGAGCAGAGATGCTCATCTTCAGAGGACAGAGGGTGTACTCAGCCTGATCCCTCCCAGCAGCTCAGGGGACAGGCTCACCCTCCTAGCTCTTCGCATCTCTAGGCATGAATCACACAGCAGCTTCTGCAGAGCCTTCCAGGCTTGGAATCTCCTGCTCATTGCACAGGTGAGGAGCTCAAGATGCCAAATATGGGAGAGCCTCATACCTGCCTTGACTTCAGCTTCCCGGAATGGCTCCTCGGAAAGCCCTCCCTGCGGACCCCAGAGGAAGCCCGCCAGTGTATTGCTCCCAGTAGCAAGGATGCCCACCCACCGTTATCCCAACGAGCAGCAGCTGCGCACATTCTCAGGTTGGTGTGAACAAGGGCAGGAGTCAGTGTGCCTTCCAGAATCATAGGAAAGTTTGCTGACCACAGTGTATCCATCAGCCTCTTGAGAACTGGCCACTCAACAGCTCACACCCGCTTCCCCAAGCACAGTCTGGTAAAGGTTTATAGAGGTGAAAACCTTTTCACCCTCCTTGCACTGATTTTCATCATTCTCTTTTTGTCACCGTGGCAGCCTGCATCCCATGAAAAGCAACAGGGCATCCTCAGGAATGATTGGAGGAGCGAGGGGGAACAGACTCTTTTGCCTCAGTTTGAGATGTTGGGCCTGGAATGGGGATAGGTCCTGTTGTGGGCTCCTGGCATGTTGTAACATAGGGTGCCCACCCATAGGCATTGTAAAGTTCCAAGAAGTGTCCCTGCCATCTTGCAATCAAGGATGTTTTCTAAGTCTGCATGTCCCCCCTCCAACATCCAGAATAAAGACAGTTCCCAGATCAAATTATTAAGGCTTGCACTGGACAGAGCCAGAGTACCCTGAGTCAGCCAGAGGATATGACCCATTCTTTGGCAACCCATCCCCACCACCATGGCCACCACACACCTTCACCAACCCAGAAATTCCAGGTCTTCTGATTTCTGAGCCTGGGTCAGGAGAAGCTGCCCTGCCTACGCACCAATGGGACACATGCCTCCATGAAACTTGAAGACAGACTGCAGAGAAGCATCATGAATTTTTCACAAGATTCATCTCATCCTGGCTGAGCAGAGCTGAGAAAGCTACATTCCGAGGACCTGTGCCAGCAGCTCGCAAAGAGTTAACCCATTAGGCCATCGCCTGGTGAGCTCATCCCTGCTGGAGCCTGCTCAGTTGCTGGGATTCACAGCACGACTTCTGGATGTGGTCAGGGTGGCTTTCTCTGGCTGGCATGGACTTGAGCAGAAACTCATTGCTGACTTCCTCCTTGCACGAGCACCGAGTGATTCGCAGGTCCCCCATCCTCCCCAGGACATCGAGGACAGTAAGTAAGGAGGGGACGTTTCCCTCTGCCCCTCCTTTCATCTCCCTGGAGGAAGAAACTGGTTTTAACTTTGCTTTAGAGTGTGTTGTCTTTGAACTAGAGTTGGAAGGTAAGAGGGAACAACAAGCAAAGAGGGGGCTGTGCCCTGGGAGGGGGTGAAGCCAGCCTGGAGGCCCTGCCTACTGAGGGTCTTGGCAGACAGTGGTGGCTGGAGGAAGGGGGCCGCCCCTTGCTGTGTACTGGAGAGAAGGGAATTTATGAGCAGAGGGCTGCTTCAGACCTGCCTGTATAGCATCCAGCCTTCAACCTTGGCAGCCATTGTGGGAGGGGCTGGGCAGGGACTATCCTCCCAAACCTAGGTGGAAGAAGGAGCAAAAAAAAGCCAGACAGTAAAGTGCAAGGCCACCACGGACCCCAGAGTATATGGCTGCAATCTTGGACCCGGGCCGTCCTTCCGGGTGCCCCGTATCAGACCTCAGCAGCTGCCAGTATCTTCCTCCTGCGGCTGTGGCAGGTGCATGGGGCAGGTGCCTGAAAAACAAGGTGGAGTGCGCTGGCTGGCTCGGGAGTTTAATCTCAGAAAGGGGGAACAAGGCAGGCATATGAAAACATGGACAAAGACGTGGCTCAGTCAGGCAACTGTGTGCCTTAGGGACCCTGCATCTGGGTAAAGCCAGATGTGATCACACACATTATCACCGGAGCTATTTTCTTCCCTGTCACTGGCCAGGGTCTGGGCACCAGCTGAGTGTCCTGATGAGGGAGGTGAGTGGCACCCTCCAGGTTTGACTGCTTTCTTGGAAGCGCTGTGAGCAGGTGACAGATAGATGGCCAAGGCCATGGTGACAGCACCAGCTTACTCAGAAACTCTCTAGCTTCTACCTTATCAGCCCAGGCACTTGGGCCCCATTCACCTTATCAGAGGGGTGCACAGTCACCAACTGAATGTCCTGGTGAGGGGAAGACTGCGCCACCAGAGAAGGTAAGGGACCCTCGGGACAACCCAAGCTGGAGCTGGGTAGGGCGTTAGCAGGGACTCTGTGAGGGAAAGAGGATGACTCTCCCCACTTCTCACCATACCGGGTCGTCCACAGGAACAATACATGGTGTTATTCCCCCCACTTCCATCCCGCCTTCCCTGCTTCTCCTCCAGACTCCCCTCGTTGGGCCCAGCCTCTCAGCAGCACTCTCTCCTCTGCTTTATGCTCTTGTAACTCCCAGAATCGCCCAGCTGCTGTCTGAGCTCTCTAAATGGAGAGGCCTGCCAGGGGAGAAGTTCGGGAAAGGCCAGATAACTCCAGGCCCAAGCACAGCAGCACAGCAGGGCCTCTTACAATATTAGGGTTGCCAGATGTACTGCCAGATGTCCAATTCAATTTGAATTTATGACAAACAACAAATACTGTTTTTGCATGCATAGGTCTCATGTAATATCAGAACATTCTTAGATAAAGAAAGTAACCATTATTGATCTGAGACTGAAATGTAACCAAACACCTTGTAGTTTTGTTTTCTAACTCTGGCAGCCCTATTAATACCAACCCTATTTCAGCACGTTCAAAGGAGGACAGCGCCGGGGAAAGGCTGGGGAGTGAGTTCAGGGGTGGAGGTGTACAGGTACCGGGTGGTGGAATGCAAGGAAGGAAGGCGGAGAAGAAAACAAGAAGGAAAAAAAGGCAGGGCCCTCTCCTTGATAAAGCATAAATAAAAGAGCAGGAATAGCCAGGCACCGTAGCCCACGCCTGTAATCCTAGCACTTCGAGAGGCTGAGGCGGGTGGATCAACCTAGGTCAGGAGTTCGAGACCAGCCTGGCCAACATGGCAAAACCCCATCTCTACTAAAAATACAAAAATTAGCCAGGCATGGAGGCATGCGCCTGTAAACCCAGCTACGCGGGAGGCTGAGGCAGGAGAATTGCTTGAACCTGGGAGGCAGAGGTTGTGGTGAGCTGAGATCGCACCACTTCACTCCAGCCTGGGCGAAAGAGCCAAACTCCATTTCAAAAAAAAAAAAAAAGCAGGAATTGGAGGCCCACAGCTCTCTCAGTGTTCCTAGCTGCAAAATGGGAATGATAAGAGTATCACCCTCAGGCCGGGCGCAGTGGCTCACGCCTGTAATCCCAGCACTTTGAGAGGCCGAGGCGGGTGGATCACGAGGTCAAGAGATCGAGACCATCCTGGTCAACATGGTGAAACCCCCTCTCTACTAAAAATACAAAAAATTAGCTGGGCATGGTGGCATGTGCCTGTAATCCCAGCTACTCAGGAGGCTGAGGCAGGAGAATTGCCTGAACCCAGGAGGCGGAGGTTGCGATGAGCCAAGATCAAGCCATTGCACTCCAGCCTGGGTAACTCCATCTCAAAAAAAGAGCAAAACTCCATCTCAAAAAAAAAAAAGTATCACCCTCATAGAGCTGAGGATTAAAAGAAACTCCCCAGGTGAAGAAAGTGGCACGTGCCAGGCGTCTTATGCTGAATTTGTGGCATAGTGACAGTGGTGACATTGAGGCCACTGTGCCACAGGTCTCTTGCTGCTTGCTGGCCCCAGCTCAGGGACTCCAGCATCCTTGGCAGCTCCACCCAACAGGCCTAAATCTATCTCCTCAGCCAAGGCTGTCACCGCTGCAGTTCTTTTCACTGACTATGCCCTACCTTGGGTGTCCTCCCCACTCACTTTTCCCATAATTTGAAAAGAAATGTTAAAACCACCCCAAAGAGGAGTAGGATAGACTTGAACAGAGTCTGGAGCTAGGCAGGCTGCAAGCCTCACATTCCAATCCAGATGCTTTCCTCACCTGTGAGTAATCTTGGGCAAGTCACTTACACCTCTCTGATCATCAGTTTCCTCACCTGCAAAGTGGATAAGAATATACCCTCCCCAAAGGACTGATTTCGTGGGGGGATGAAGTGATGAAATGAGGCAATGCAGACAAAGCATTCGGCGTGGTTCACACCACATGCTAAGCAATCGATAAACGGTAGTTATGATTATTGTCTAAAAAGCACCTGCTCTCCCCTGCTGCTGCACAGCTTCTTTGGCCTTGGAGAAGCAGCTGAGGTACATTCGAGATTTTTGCAGAGGGAAGCCTGTCTTGGCAAGGTGAGCCGTCATTTACAGGCCAAAGAAGGGAAGCAGGGAGGAGTTGGTCAGTGTGTCCTGGCTTTGCGCCTTCACAGCTGTCTCCCTCTCCGCTTGTGAGCTGTTCCCATCCTAACACTTGGCTATAAGATCAAAGAGAGTTGTTTATAACCACCAGGTGGGAAGAAACAGGACCAGGGACTTGGGAAGGCAGTGCTAGCCACTTCTAACCTTCTGTAGTTCAAAAGAAAAAAAATTAATTGCAGGGTAATTGCAGGTCTGCAAACAACCCACAATGCCCTCTCCTTCCTCTCTTACCACAACTCCCCCATTTATTTAGCAATGTAACAAATGTTTACTGAGTCCACAGCCTCCACCAGGGGGCCAAGGAAGTCATAGATCTCAGGGTGCAGGAAGGTAGGACCTATGAGCCCAGCCCCAGCCCCTCAAAGAGTATGGGAGTGAAGAAAGAGCTTCCGGCCCTGTAAGTACAGACACGTATCTGGTCACCTGCAGGGAAATCATTCACTTATTTCACTGACATCTGCCATTCTGTTAAGCTGTACCTTCCAGATGCTCAGGAATCTACTCAAGAGAAAAGGATTTGGCCTTTCTTGCCTCAGGACACTCATTGTTCACCAGCACCCATATTCTCCTCACCAAACCACGTCTTGAGGGAATGAATATAGCATGTGTGAGAAAAAGCCAAGAATTTTCCAGCCAGTTCTCTCCCCTCTTATTTGACACATCTCGTTACTGCATTTGTCCGAGATGCCGTGGTCCAAGTGAATGTGCACACCGAAAGCTCCTCTTGGGAGAAGGGGCATTGTCTTACCCACATCTGTAACTCTGTGTCTGGCAAAGGGTGTGCTACAATGTTGGTGAGCACTGTTCACTGTTTAACAGCCTGGGGAATATAAAATCAACAGCCAGACGCTAACAAGATAAGTGTATGCCAGGTCTCCAAAGACAGGGATAATTCCAAACACAAAAGGCAGATGCACAGACAAGTTGTAACAAGATGAAGAGACAGCCCTATTGGTACCTCCCTTCTGGGTATGTTTGTTCAGCCAACCAAACCCAGTCTTCATTCAGTTCAGGGGCCCCCTGGCTCCTGAAAGTCTGAGTTTTTCTTTCTTTTTCTTTTTTTTTTTTTTTTTTGAGACAAAGTCTTGCTTTTGTTGCCCAGGCTGTAGTGCAGTGGAACGATCTTGGCTCACTGTAACCTCCGCCTCCCTGGTAGATCAAGTGATTCTGCTGCCTCAGCCTCCCGAGTAGCTGGGATTATAGGTGCCCACCACCAGGCCCAGCTAATTTTTGTATTTTTAGTAGAGATGGGGTTTCACCATGTTGGCCAGGCTGGTCTCGAACTTCTGACCTCAGGTGATCCACCTGCCTCAGCCTCCCAAAGTGCTGGGATTACAAGCATGAGCCACCGCACCTGGCCAAGTCTATGTTTTTGTTCAAGGGATGATATCTTTCCAGAGACAAGGTGAAATTCTTGTTTTCATTCCCTCTCTTCTTCTCTCCCCACAACCTCTTCCCAATTCCAGATGTTTCCCAGAAGCACTTTCTCTTCCTCTCAGGATCTCCTCTTTCTCAGAGTCAGTTCCTGTAGAGCCAGGTACCTCTCAGCTTGCAGATTTCCCTTTAGCATCTCTGCCCTATTCTGTGATCACACCTCCATGCCTGCACCTCTACTTTCCTTCACTGTGTCTCCTGCCGACACCCTGCTCTGGGTCTCCAGGCTCCATCATAGGGCCTCAGCCATGGTCAACATTCCTCCATTCCTGGTTAAGCTCTACTTCTGTGTGTGCCCCTCCTCACCCTACTGGATTATTATTATTAAGGCTTTCACAGCTCTTTGGTGTGCAGTGTAATTTACACAATTGAAATGCACAGATCGAAGTGTACCATATTG